AAGAGAGCCCAGAAATACACCGACATAAATATAATCAGTGGAGTTTTGACAAAGGAAAAAAGGCAATAAAATGGAGCAAAGACAGTCTTTTAAACAAACGGTGCTAGAACAACTGGACATCTACATGCAAAAAATAATTTTATACACCAACTTTACACCCTTCACAAACAAAAAACCCAGTATATATCATAGCCTTAAATGTAAAATGGGAAACTATAAAACTCCTAGAAGATCACATAGGAAAAAATCTACATAACCTTGAGTATGGCAATGACATTTTAGCTATAACACCAAAGACACACTTCATGAAATAAATCATTAATAAGCCGGAACTCATTTAAATTAAAAACTTCTGTGAAAGACAATGTCAAGAGAATGAGAAAACAATCTACAGACAGGAAAATATTCATGAAAGATATATCTGAAAAAGAACTGTTATCCAAAATAGACACAGAACTCTTAAAAATCAACAAGAAAGCAAATAACCTGATTAAAAAATGGGCCAAAGATCTTAACAGACACCTCATCAAACAAGATGTGCAAATGGCAGAGAAGCATTTGAAAAGATGCTCCACATACTATGTCATCAGGGAAATGCAAATTAAAATAACAATGAGATGCCACTACACATGTATTAGCATGGCCAAAATGCGGAACACTGACAACATCAAATATTGCTCTACTTAGAGCAACAGGAACTGTCATTAATTGCTGGTGGGAATGCAAAATGGTGCAGCCCCTGCAGAAGACAGTTCGATGGTTCCTTTAAAAACTAAACATATTTTTACCATATGACCCAGAAACTGTGCTCCTTGGTATTTACCCAAAGGAGCTGAAAACTCATGTCCACACAAAAACCTGCACAGCAGATTTATTCATAATTGCCAAAACTTGGAAGCAGCCAGGTGTAGCCATTAAAGGACATGGAAGAACTTTAAATGCATACTATTAAGTGAAAGAAGCCAATCTGAACAAACTACATATGATTCCAATGATATGACATTTTGGAAAAGGTAAAGCTATGGAAAGAAAAAGATCAGTGGTTGCCTGGGGCCGGGGGACACTGAAAATATTCTATAAGATATTATAATGATGAATACATAGCATGATACATTTGTCCAAACTCACAGAATATATTATACCAAGAGCAAACCCGAATGGAAACTATGGACTTTGGATGATTATGATGTATCAGTGTAGGTCCATCAGCTGTAACAAATGTACCATCTAGTGAAGGATGTTGGTAATGGGAGGGGCTATGAATGTATGGGGGGAGGGGGTACGTGGGAAACCTCTGTACCTTCTTCTCAATTTCTCTGTTAACTTAAAAACTGCTACAAAAAATAAAGTCTTTAATTTTTTAAAAGTATGTTATTATTATTCATATGTTCTGCTTTATTATGACATTCTCACAAAAACTCTGCAAGGTAGTTGCATTTATCCAAATCATATGTTTACAAATGAGGAAAGTGATGCTCAGATATGTTAAGTTACTTCCCCAGTATCCTAGAGGTAGTAAGTGGTGTAGCCTGGAGTGGAATTTAAGTTTGACGCCAAATCTATGTTTTTTTCTCCTTTATCAGGAGTCAGCAAACTACAGCCTATGAGCCAAATAAGCTCTCCAGCTGTTTTAGTAAGTAACGTTTTACTGGAACATAGCCACCCTAATTATTGTCTATGGCTGCTTTCACACTGTAAGAGCAAAGTTGAGCAGACGAAACATATATCATAGCCTAAAATATTCACTATCTACCCCTTTACAGGAAAAGCTTGCCAACACCTGAACTATATTACTATGTCTTCACATGGTCGCTCTTCATCCTGAATCCTGTATTTGTATTCAACTTTTAATTGACTTTAAAACATAACTGGTGAATAGTTTATAGAATGCACCATGTTTTAAATACCAAAATAAACACTGAAGATGATGTTTAAAAAACACGTGTCACATAAACAAATTAAAACTTCATATAATAATCTCAGAACAAATAACAGAATTAATCTCTAAAAAGTAAAATAATTTTATTTGCCCAAACTCATAGTTGACAATGAAAACAAATACAACGCTTTCCAGATGATAATCCTGCTTATTACCTGGAAAACTGCAATGTATTAATTTAATATGCAGTATTTTCTGGGCTCCTTACAAACTAATAAAGTGGATATTATCATACTAAAAAAATCTTTAAAGTTAGTAAGTTATAAAGTAACTGAAATCAAAGAATAGTTGCAAGCATGCACTTGCACAACTTGGAAAACTGAGGACAAATATAAAGATATTGATTATCTGCATGTCACTGATTCAGTATCCCAAATTCCATCTGAAAAGATATAATCCGCACTTCACAAAAAAACTTGAAGTTAACTCATCAATTTTTTCCCTCTTGTAACATCTTTTAATCCAATGAAAATATGTTTTAAAGTAAAGAGTAATTTAACTAGAGATTTGTGGTAAGATTAAGCCAACACAAAAAGAGTCTATGAACAGTGAGAAAAAAATATGAGAAGGATTCATGAAAATCATTCCAAGTATAACTTTTCTCCAGCCCATCGATGTTGGAGAGACGGTGTAGCTTTCTTTCACCCCACAGACACAGGCAGAGTATTCTAAATGCGCGCATCCTCCATTTTATTGCTCATCCTTCGGCTACTGTTGCTACAGCTGCCACCAGAGAATGTGGAAGAGCTCAAAGGAGAAAGAGGAGAGGCAGGATGGGCAGTGGGTAAGTGTATGTGTGCGCATGTGTCTATCCCTATGCATGAGTGTGTGCATACTTCTTCCCCAAAGAGGTTGAGGTGATTTGTAAAATAACACCCAACCTAACACAGTTCAAGAGAGTCAGGGTCTGTAAGAATACTCCAAGGTGGGAATTTATAAACAAGTAGAAATAATAAGCATCAATCTCATCATTTATTGTGTGTATCACTTGATACACAAATGAAATATATAAATGTCTCGGAGATATCAGCAGCCTTTAAGCACGTTCTTGAGCTTAGTCCTCGGCTTACCAAGTGGTAGCAAGAAGTAACTCCACCAAAGACTTTTTTGTCCTTTCCTTTCCAGGGCCACAGAAGGTCTGTCTTTACATATCTCAAGGTCATATCAAAGTCTTATTTTTAAATTAGAATACACTGAAATTAGCATATATTATACATGATGATAAAAGAAATCAAAAGCCCATGGATGAGTCTGATTCTTAAAATAGTCTCGATTATTTTTTAAGACTGAGTTTTAAAAACTGTCCTCGGAGCTATAGTTACTTATGCATAGAAACATTCATTTTAAAAAAGAAACCAAGTCCTAAGTATTATTGCAAAATTAAATGATCTGGAAAAACAAAATAGCCCCACTTTTTACTATAGCCCAAACACACACACATTTACCTACCTACACATACCTCTGATTCAGTCCATCATTTTGACAAGTGAAGATGCAAAACTGAATCAAGTGGGAAACACCAGCATTTAAAACATCAGTCAGGGCTTCCCTGGTGGCGCAGTGGTTGAGAATCTGCCTGCTAATGCAGGGGACACGGGTTCGAGCCCTGGTATGGGAGGATCCCACATGCCGCGGAACAACTGGGCCCATGAGCCACAAGTACTGAGCCTGCGCGTCTGGAGCCTGTGCTCCGCAACAAGAGAGGCCGCGATAGTGAGAGGCCCACGCACCGCGATGAAGAGTGGCCCCCGCTTAACACAACTAGAGAAAGCCCTCGCACAGAAACGAAGACCCAACACAGCAAAAATAAATTAAATAAATAAATAAATAAATAAAACATCAGTCATCCTAACGCATCAGTCATAAATAAATAACGAAGTGACACTTGGGTCTTACCTACCTACGTAGAGAACACCCTCTTTTGTCTTTTCCGCTGCTTCTGCTACACCCTGCTTGGTTTTTTCAGCAGCGGCCACGACTCCCTCCTTGGCCTTTGAAAGTCCTTTCATGAATACATCCATGGCTAATGAATTCCTTTACACCGCACTGGAGAACACAAAATACACTTTGAGAACTTTTGGGTAAAACAAAACGAAATTAGAACCACCCAAGGTAAAAACCACTGAAAGATCAGTAGACTCCCCAAAAGTGTGGGATTCTTTTAAGTGTACCTCCATTTCCACCATCGGACAAAGCAGCCTTCTTTTTTTTTTTTTTTAGCTTTTGCATTAAAAATTTAGCATCTCCCATCCATCTTGGCTGGTAAAAGTCTAGCCGCCTAAACATGGATTAGGATGAATCATCTCAGCTGTTCTTAAAGCCCTTCCGAAGTGGAATTACATGAAAAGATGGACCCCTCTTTTAACTTCCCAGGGTCCAAATGGTAACAGTATAACTTAGAAGTGCGTTTAGAAGACAGGTTACAGGAAAAGTAAAGGGAGCTGGGGGCACGGGGTCAGGGACACTCTTAAAATAAATCCCCGAAGGCGGCTAACAGGTCAAACGTCAGGAGGGCAAGGGAGGGAACTACTCACTCTGGGTGTGGCTGAACCTCAGCGCCCCCGCACTCGCCCTAATCCACCCCACCACGCACCCTGCCCTCGGCCATCTACCCTGCGCAAGCAGGCGCGCGTTCACACCCGCGGGCAGTCTTGGGATGCGCGCCAGCTCCCCGAGGGGGCGTTCTCCGCGCGCTGATCCCGCCAGCCACCCGGCGCCCGCACCTGTTAACCCCTTACCACCTGCTGGCTTGCCCTCTTTGCTCTTCCGTTTAATGATTTGCCAAACACAGCTTGTTTACTTAACAAGAGAGAGCGGACTGCGGGATTTAAGGAAAGCGGAAAATAAAAGTTGAATACTCATACTCCACCGAGCATCCTGCCTTTCCCAAAGAAACAGCTTACCCCTGAGAAAAGCCGGACCTCTCAGCCTTTGAGGACAAGACGCGGGGAGTACCGGAAGCAGAAGGAAAGCCAGGTGGATTTACTTTCCGCAAGCTCACCATTAGGTATAAGAACCCACCTCCGGGAGAGACTCGACTACGGCCGGTCCTCACTGCAGCACCAACCCCGCCTCCCGGGCGTTCGCAATGACTCTTCTCCCACCAGGTTTTCTCCATGATTTCCCAGGCTGCCCGTTTAGATCCACAGGTACTTACCTGATTCCCTCGACTCCTCAGAACTCGGATTCTTCCCCCACCCGCACTTTTAAAAAATGTAAAACAATTCCCAAATATTATTTAAGTGGGAGGAGAGAGGATGAAGAGCGCACAGGAAGGGTGGAGGTGGCACCAGAAGAGGGATGGTCCCCAGAGGAGGCGGCTGTCTGCATAACCGTGCGAGGAGAGGCTGGGGGCGTGGGACGCCAACCCGCGAACCCGGCGTCGAATTGCCACTCCCCGTCCCCCGCACGGGAGGATTCGAGAGAAGAAGACAGAAGGTCTCAAGGGAAGGCAGGGAAAAGAGCGCCAAGGACGCACAAGGCGGGGCTCGGTCCCCGGGTCAGCTCGAAGGCCGGCACACACCTCACCCCGCGTGGCCGCGCGCGCTCGCTCGCTCGCCCCCTCTCCTTCTCCTCCTCCCGGTCCTTCCGTCTCCTCCTCTTCCTAGTCCTTTTCTCCTCCGCTCACCGCCCCCGCAGCTGATTTGTCAGCTCCTCTCCCCGCCCCTCTCCCGGCGCTCGCCGCTTTCCCAGCCGCGTGCTCTTCACTCCTCTTCTCGGCTGGGGATGGGGGGTGGAGGAAGGCTGGCCCTCCACCTCCGGCAGCCCGCCAGGTCCTGGGAGACGGGAAGGTGGGGGTGTTCTGGGGCTCACTTCAAGTCACGGGGGCTCTTGCGGAGATTCGGAGCGGTTAGGCTTGGACTGATGTCTCTCCCTCTTTCCCATCCCCCCCCCTTCCCCGTCTCCGCCTTTTCCTCTGGTTCCTCACGGGGACCCCCACGTCAGAACCAGCCTGGGGAAGTGGAAGTCTGGGCGACCGACCACCAAAGATAGAGCCAGTCTCTCGGGGAGCTGCTGAAGGAGACAGGCAGCGTAGGAAGGGTGCTCCCATCGGCACTGCCAAGAGCACGTTTCCCTCGGATCGCTGAAATTTGATTAATGGTCGTAGGACACAACGTTAACGATGCTTTTGTTTAAAGAGCCTCCAGATGTACGTTTGCTCTTAACCTCTCATGAGCCCGAAATGGTCTCGCGGGTGGAGAGAAGACGAGTAAAGAAGAGTTACAGGTTGAAGAGGCAGGAGGAGGCTCGTCAAATCCTCTTCCCACCCCCACTCTCACCATTTTCTTTTCCACCAACCAGCGGCTGCCAGACGCTGATTTTCCCATCAGTGGAACAAGGAAGGAATAGTCTCCCCAGCCGTCGAAACCAAGCGGCTGTAAAGCTTTTCGTTCTCAGAGTGGAATTTACTTTGCAGATTCAAGGGCCTGGCTGGAAGAGACAAATCCAGCGTGATTGAGTCTCCTGACCCAGCAGATGCAATTTCTTCCGCCCCTTCTGCAAAGGGAGATTCTACACACCACTCACCTTTCCGACTTCTGATTCCCGTTGTCCTCGGTGCTGACACGCTACCGCATCCCACACACAGACACACAGGCAGACACTCGCACGGGTTTCAAGACAATTTTTGCATTGCTTAATTGGAGGGAGCTGGAGGGAAAACAGGTGTTCTGGAGCACACCGGAATGGAGACCCAAGCGCCTCCCCGTAACAGATCTGCCTCTGCTTTTTTTTTGCCTGGAATGGGAGGATGCTTTTAGAGCTGGAAGGGGAAAAGAAGTCTTTGCTGTATGTTTTTTTTGTTTGTGTTGTGTTTTTTGTAGGAAAAAAAAAAAGCTTTCTCTGATCCTTGCACTCACATTCTGAAATGGGAGTAAAAAGGAATTTAAATCTACAAAACAGCCATTTGAAACCAAGAGAGACCGGGAGCAAGTATATTTGTTGCTTAAACAACTCCTTGCATTACCGGTGGGCGCATTTGAAAAGTAGCCTTTCCAAAACGCTTATATTTTGTTTCCTTGGGATCAGAGAAAGTAGGTTAAACTTGGGAGTTGGATTGCTTTCTGGCTTTGAGAGCTTGAACAAGTTATGTCCTTCTTCTTCTGTTCAGTTTTCTCTTGTGAAGGGAGATGAACCAAAATGATCCCTCTTTTTTCAACTTTTTATTATGGGAAATGTTCAAACATATACAAAAGCAGAGAGAATAAAGAACTCTCAGTGGAATATCACCCAACTTCCACTATTTTCCAATGCACGATTCATCTATATTCTCATCCACTCCCCATTTTTACCACTACTCCCTTCCCCCATTTTTCTTTACTAAATCCCCAAAATTGCATATATCTTTTCATCTGTAAGCAATTAAGCATGCATCCATAAAATATAAGAACTATTTTTAAATAAACACAATAATGTTTCGATGGTCTTTTTTAAAATATAAGTAAAATTTACATGCAGTGGTATGTTCATCTCTTTATAGTGTTCCTTTAAATCAGTTTTGAAAAATATATGCATTAGTGTTATCCTCACCATTTTGAAGAAATAAAACATTTTCATCCCCCAGAAAGTTCCCTCACACCCCTTTTAGTTGTACATATTCTAGAATTTCATAAAAATAAGACCATACATTATGAACATTTTTTTTTGTATGTCTCTGGCTCCTTTCACTCAGCCTAATACCTGTGAAGTTCATTCATGTTGTTGCATGAATCAATAGTTTCTTTTTATTGCTTCCGAATGTTTCTTTTTATTACTGCCAATAATAAATGTTTTCCATTGTGACCCATCACAACTAGTTATTTAATATAAATATTTGATGAATATTTAATATTCAATTATATGACATATTTATAGGTTAACAGGGACCTCCTTGAGAAGTCAAAGGGGTGAGTAAAGTGACATATTTTAGGCCCTGTGCAGACCAATGAGAGAATTATTTTCAAGCGGTTGTTACATTTTTGTGCTTCTTACAGGTATGATTCCACACCTTTATATGGTACATTATGCTTGGCAGAGGACTAATGTATGATCATTTAATCATAACAAGTGGGTAAGTTAAGTTTTATTATGTATCTTTTGTAGACAGGGAATCTGAAGCTCAAAGAATTTTGGTAAAATGCAGAAATTGCATAGCTCTTAAGTGGCAAAGCTGAGATAATCCAGCAGGAACTGTTCCAAAAGGCACAATCATCTCCTGAACTGGCAGTAACCTCTGGAACCTTGCAGATTGGGCACGGCATAGGGTGGGAGGTAAAAAGTGGGACCCACTTCTGTTAGAAATAGCATTTGAATTTGGAGGTGACAATGGAAATCAAGGAGAACTTATGTTCTAAAACATTGCATTCATATTTGAAATGTTGCCATTTCTATATTGGTAATTATAGGGGAAGATGATTCCATCACCCACAAAAAAGAAAAAATTATAAAATAATTTTTTGTCATTTAAAATTTTAAGTCTATATTTTACTTTTTTTCTTACCTTTCAAAACTCTTCACATTAGCATTATTATTTTTTTAACATCTTTCTTAGAGTATAATTGCTTTACAATGGTGTGTTAGTTTCTGCTGTAAAACAAAGTGAATCAGTTATACATTTACATATGTCCCCGTATCTCTTCCCTCTTGCGTACTCCTCTTTTCATCCCTTAAAGTGCCTTGAACAAGTAAGCATTCAATAAACTTTTAATTACTGGTGATATTAATAGTGACATTCCTTATATTCTACCTGTATTTTCTTAGCCCAGCAATCCTAAGGAGGCAGAACTACTCAAGGACAAAGAAGGGAACCGAAAGTTAATAGATATTTTTTTCTTTTCCTCATTAGGTGACAACATAGCCTTGAGAAAATTTGTAACTCTTTGAATATAACTTTAAAATTCAAACTACAAAAAAACCAAATTAACTCATTGAATGGCCTGTACCTCATAAGGAATATGGAAGGATAACCTATTGGGAGGCATTACTGATGTGCGTATTTTGTTAATGACTACACTCATGTTTGTTTTTCTCTTTGACAAATGAAATCTAAATATCTTGCTACTTTTTAATAGGATTGTTTTATCTGAGTTTAATAGAGTAATTTAGCTAAAGATTAACAGCCTATGAAATGCATGATTAACCTAGGCTCTCTTTATCTTCCCCATAAAACAACTGATTTTTTAGGTGTGCCACGTGCTAAGCTTGAGCTTGCAAAGTGGAACGACATGAAAAATACGGAAGCTTCCCGTGACCATATACTAAAGGAAGGATAAGAATTGATTGAATGTGTTTAGGTAAGGAAAATACAATCTTTACTGTCTTTGAATAATATTCCATATTTGTTGTGAAACACAAGGAGCAATGTAATGTGGATTCTTGGGCCTCTTGTTTCTCACTGTCTGCACCTTCCTCTCATCTTCAGTAGATGTATGGAAAACAGGAGGCAGTGAGATCTTGGTAGGCTTCTCTTGTCACTTCACGGTGGGCACGGAAGGGAGAGCCTAATGCATACAGTTGGGATGGCATTGTGTGTGATTTTGGAAAGGGGTTGCACTTGAGACAGGGTTACTCCAAAGAAATAGGAAAAACAATGAAGAGGACATATAGGGTTCAGAGAAGATTATTTAATTTGACCCCATGGACAACTTCATGTTGTTTCTACGATACCCCATGCAGCAAAAAATAATGGACATTTATTCCAGCACGATGTATTTATCATACTTATTAATACTGTAGTATATCCTCAATAATGTCGAATGACCATAATTTGTAACCACAAGAAAGTGCCATGTGAAAGACGTAAAATTCAATTGGACATCATTTTAAATAGCCTTGTGGGTTTTGGTGCTAAGAATATTAAGACATGCAAGATTCTATGATTAAAGCCTTTAAAGCTAGGTAGAAAAGATGTTTAAATATTGGGGGATCCAAAAGTTCAAATAGATGGCCAACAGGCACGTGAACAAATGCTCAACATCACTAATTATTAGAGAAATGCAAATCAAACCCACAATGAGGTACCATCTCACACTGGTCAGAATGGCCATCATCAAAAAGTGTATAAATAATAAATGCTGGAGAGAGTGTGGAGAAAAGGGAACCCTCCTGCCCTGTTGGTGGGAATGTAAATTGGTGCAGCCACTATGGAAAACAGTATGGAGGTTCCTTTAAAAACTAAAAATAGAGTTGCCATATGATCCAACAATTCCAGTTTGGGGCATATATCCAGAAAAGATGAAAACACTAATTTGAAAAGATACACACACCCCAATGTTCACAGCAATATTTACAATAGCCAAGGCATGGAAGCAGCCCGAATGTCCATCGACATATACATACAATGGAATACTACTCAGTCATAAAAATGAATGAAATAATGCCATTTGCAGCAACATGGATGGACCTAGAGAGTATCATACTAAGTAAGTCAGACAAAGATAAATATCATATAATATCACTTATATGTGGAATCTAAAACAATGATGCAAATCAACTTATTTATGAAACAGAAATAGACTCGCAGACATAGAAAATGAACTTATGGTTATCAAAGGAGAAAGGCAGAGGGAGGGATAAATTGGGAATTTGAGATTAACATATACACACTACTATATAAAATAGATTTAAAAAAACAAGGATCTACCGTATAGCACAGGGAACTATATTCAATATCATGTAATAATCTATAATGGAAAAGGAATCCGAAAAAGAATATATATATTTTTTGGCTTCCCTGGTGGCGCAGTGGTTGAGAGTCCGCCTGCCAAAGCAGGGGACACGGGTTCGTGCCCCGGTCCGGGAAGATCCCACATGCCGCGGAGCGGCTGGGCCCGTGAGCCATGGCCGCTGAGCCTGCGCGTCCGGAGCCTGCGCTCCGCAATGGAAGAGGCCGCAACAGTGAGGCCCGCAAAGCGCAAAAAAAAAAGAATATACATATTCTGAATCACTTTGCTGTAGACCTGCAACATTGTAAATCAACAAATCAACTATACTTCAATTTAAAATTTTTTTAAATTAAAAATGAAACGAATAAAAAATTCAAATAACTTTAATATTTGAAGGGAAAGCATATTTATGAACTCAAGAAATGAGTAAGCATGGTAGACTTTCAGAAAGTAGAGGAACTGGGTACAGGTTAAATGCAGGGACTTATCTAGGCTCTACTACTTGGTAGCAGGACTGAGAGCAAGTATCCAAACTCTCTAACCTCTAATTTTCTTATCTGTAAAATGGGGATGACATCTCATGTGATTGCTGTAAGGAATAAATAATATGCTTTTTAGGAAAGAACCAAGCACAGTAGAATCTCTCAATACAAGAGGCAATTATTGTTATCTAGCCTCTATATTTTAGGGTGCCCTAGGAAACACTTTCTTCCTTGCAGTAGTTTTCATCATTATTACCAGCCCTCCCCAACCTCCCTTCCCACCACAACACGCCCGAGGTATCTGATGCCTCCCCATCAATAACTTTGCCTTACTATGGCAAGGAAAACATTTCCAACCAGGGATGGAAGTTGTGGGGAGATGCGAGTGTGGGGAGTCTAGAGACATTGATAGAGGTCATTAGCAGAAAATCTGCCAATATCTCTTTTCTCTCCTTAATGTGTAGATTACAGTAACAACATCACTCATGGCAATTTGCCTCAGGACCCTGCAAAAATAGAGAAATAGAAATATATCACTGTCTTTATTGATAGTTTTACATTCTTGGAACCTGGTTTCTTTAAAGGGGTGGTGGCAGAGTTCTGTTTGAATTATGTTAATTTTCTAAGAGAGAAAAATAAAATGATACAACAAATGGTGTTCCAAGTTTGCCAGACTCATTGTGAAAGCAACCCTGAAGGCTTCCGAATGAATATCCAGTTCAGAGATAAACTCAGCCTCTCATGTTCCAGCTGAGTGAAGAAAATGGACAGACTGATGGGACAGTGACAGATCGACTTATACTTTTCAATAGCATCTGTGTGCAGAAAGGCACAAAATAAATGGACGAAGAAACATTTCAGGAAAATGAATGTTTTCGTATGATGTGTTAAACTGACGTTTTTTGGGTTTTTTTTTTTTTGCGGTACGCGGGCCTCTCACTGTTGTGGCCTCTCCCGTGTGCGGAGCACAGGCTCCGGACGCGCAGGCTCAGCGGCCATGGCTCACGGGCCCAGCCGCTCCGCGGCATGTGGGATCCTCCCAGACCGGGGCACGAACCCGCGTGCCCTGCATCGGCAGGCGGACTGTCAACCACTGCGCCACCAGGGAAGCCCTAAACAAGTTTTAATGCCTTCATAAACAGAGAAATCACAACAAATTAGCAAAAGGACTATGTTTCTTATAATACCATAATTATCAAGGCATCTGATGTACCTTCCTCTGTAGATAATTTAACAGTATGAAGTGACATTTAAGAAATTTTCTTCAACACTATATAAAAAGCACATCACTAATGTTTTGAAAGCTAGTTATCCCACCTAAAATTGGAAATTTATATTATTAAGAAAGACAAGAAAATAAGAAATTATTTCTTAATGGTTACTTGATAAGTACGTTAACATCAAAACATATCCATGTAAATAAACACACACTTGTAATATCATTTTGCCTAAATATATTACACTGTATCATGTATTTAATCGTCTATTTTTAATTTATTTTTATTACTTTTTATTAATATAACGAGTTTTTTTCTATTATCTTCACAAAAGTAGGACAAGAACTTATCTATATATTCAGTCTAATAATTTTTTCATATATAAAGTATTATGAATGAGTTCCTTTTAAATCAACTTCTCTATGGTAAACAATGATTGTTCTTCAAGTCACAGACTCTTTTCTGAGCCTATTTCCATTTAAATTCCCTTTAACTTTCCTCCTTAAAATATTGGACTAAATGCTTTCCGTTTTTCTTTTAGTTTTTTAGATCAGGATAAGAAAAACCTCCAAGTAATCAGATTACCACAAAAAAGGATTTTTTAAATAGTACTGGCTATTAAACTTATGAAAATGATTTAAAAACAAAGTTGTGTATTTTTATTTTACATTACCAAAATTTAAAGTGCAGAGATAGACTGGCTAAATATGTAAATGTCCAATTTCTACAGGAAATCTAGATGTTTCATAGATATGTCTTCAAATACATGTCTAAGCAAGAAAAAGATAATATTCAGACATCTTCACATAATGTAATCATCAAAAAGGAAACACTGATTTATATAAAAAATCTAACTGATATTACTCAAATGTGTGCAGCTGATTTTCAAGTAAGGAAATAGCATATACTTACAAGATCATCAAGATGTGGACAAAAAAATATAATACACAAACACATACACACATACACACATAATGCAGATATACAGTATATACAGTTAAGAAAGAACAGTAGTCAAGTTATTTGCCAGGTGCTTTCAATATAAAAGGGACCTCTGTTTAATGTCTTAGTTTATCTCTGTATGAGAGTCTTTAGCAACAATCAATTAATTGAGAATTCAATCTTCTTGATCATCTTGGATTATGGTCTTAACCTGCAGGAAATATTTAAATAATTAAAAAACACTCTCAAGATATGTTAAAAGTCAATGGATTGCCATGACAGGACAGACTGAAATGATAGTCTATAAATATAATTCTCCTTTATTTTTTGTTGTTACATGAAAAGTATATGCTCATTAAAGTACACAAATGCATATAAGAAAAAGGAAAATAAAAGAATATCAGTATGTCCAGCAACATGAGATAACTTGTTGACTCTCCTATTAAAAATTACCTTTTATGGGCTTCCCTGGTGGCGCAGTGGTTGAGAGTCCGCCTGCCGATGCTACGGGATATGGGTTCGTGCCCCGGTCCGGAAAGATCCCACATGTTGCGGAGCGGCTGGGCCTGTGAGCCATGGACGCTAAGCCTGCGCGTCCGGAGCCTGTGCTCCGCAACGGGAGAGGCCACAACAGTGAGAGGCCCGCTAACCGTAAAAAAAAAAAAAAAATTACCTTTTATAAAAAATTTGAAAATATATATATATATATCAAAACCATTCAATATGTCCATACCTTTGACTGCAATTCACTGCTAGAAATACATCCTTAGAAAAAAAAGAAGTCATATTCTCAAAGAAATGTATTTTATGCCGTTATATACAGCTGCATTTTACACAAAAAGATTTACCAATGCCATTTTCCCAGTTAAATTTCTGATGAGGTAGTTATCTAAGGTCACTTACTCTTTATGTGATATGTAACACAACTAGTAAACGATGAGCCGTGTTGTCTCCATGTTCTTTCTTCCTAAGCAGCACACAATGCAGCCCCAAGTGCTTGAGGTTGACCTTTTTCTCCACTTGCTCTTTGCTCTTGAAAAGATAAGGGTTATCGGTACCAACCTCACAACTTGGTGAAAATGGATTGAAATAATGTATAGAAATAATTATTTTGATGGTATGTGAAAGAACTGATTCTACTTAACTTATAAAGCATATTCTAGGGGGAAAAAAAACAGGCTAATCAATCATTTTACTGCTCTTCTCCTGAGACAAATGCTGCATATGGTGAAATAATGCTTGCAGAAGTGAGAGATAGATTTTAGTTCTGGACATAGAAGAGCTACTAACTTTAGGAAAAAGACAATGAGGTTATAAAAACTTTTCCAGTTAAGCAGAAAAACACCAAGACAAAGGTCAAGCAACAATTTTTTTTTTTACTTAGAAGCAAAGGAGAATTAGCCCAAGAGTATCTTGTATATATTACTAATTTCTCAAAATAATTTATTTAAAACCATTCAATTTTATTGTCTGTATAATTAAAACTTTAAGAAGTGATTGGCATCAAGAAGTGAAGCTGAAGGAGGTAGAGTCAGCCATTTACAACATATACATAGTACATGCTGTTGTATTTTAAACTAGATATCTAAGGAAGTTTGAAAATTTGAAACAAATTAGAAGAGCCAAAAGTTGTCAGAGATGAAAATATTTAAAGACATTAAAAATTATTTTGTCCAAGACAATTCTCTTCCCTTCCCTATCATTAAAGTCAGCTCTATTAGAATAGCTTCCCCCAAAAATCTATCAAATTGCATCAGTACTGCCAGCTGCATCTTGGGAGCCATCAACTGAAACAGCTGAACAGCTTTCAACGTTGTTTGTATATATACAATATCTAGTTAATAATCATATATACATATGTCTGTAATTAAAAGAGTTGTTTAACATTAAGTGTATTTGAAATACACTGTTTTTCTTCAGGAAATTTAAAATCTTGACTGAGAATATTGCCAGTGGTGAGGGTCCCCTATCTTTATTACAAAGCTATGGGGTGCGTGTTGCAATGGCACAGAGACGTATCTGAAGATGCGCAGAGTTTCTCAGGCATCTTTTATCATCATGGCCTAAAAATGACCCAGCAGAGTGGTAGAGGAGAGCAGTAGCGAAGCAAGGCAAGTGCTTCTCTCCATTGTGGAAAGGGTCGGAATCTGCGAGACTGCTCTCCAAGGAGAAACGTCTAGATAAAGTCACTTTTCCCTGTCAGAGAGGAGCATGCCCTTTAACTCCTACCCAAACAAGAGGACACTGCAGAATATGTATTCTATTGATTCCTGCTTATAGTAACTAATTAATAACATCCATGGAATTATTTTTTACATGATGTTTTTTCTATTCAAACATTGGCTTTTTGGCCTGGATGATGTATACCCTCATGATTACTATAATCCTACTTCTCAAGATTTCTTCCACATCGTTCCTCTCCCCAGGAAAAAGTGAATTTAACACCTTTCTGAGTAGAGCTTAATTGCGTAGAAAGAATGTCATACCTTTTAGAGTGCTAATTAGAGATGGTAATAATATGACAGGTCTCATCTAAAATCCTTTTGAATTATTCTATCAGTGCTGGAATAGTGGTGAGCTTCTGCACGCTTGCCAGATATGAAAATTTATTTTTTCTATGGATTTAGAGAAGGTATCATGAAGAAATTTCCCATATGTGAACTGTGTATTCTGATTGACATACTGAGACCTTTAATGAAGGTAAAGAGCAATACAGAAATCTCTCTGAATACATAGAGGATAGAATGCAGAAGCTTTACATAATTAGGCAGCCTGTCATTTAGTCAGGATTTTTCTTTCCCTCTTTTAACCCTAACCTTTCTCTCTTTCAGTTTTGTCTTTTTATTTCTCATGACTTTCTCTTTCTAAAATACTGGTCTTCATTTACCAAGGCACTAAAAACTAGTAGAATTAATATCCCAAGTGTTATGGGCTGAATCATGTCCCTCCCAAACTTGTATGTTGAAGTCTTAACCTCCAGCACTTCAGAATATGACTGTAGTTGGAGACAGCATCTCGAAAGCGGTAACTAAGTTTAAATGAGGTCATTGAAGTGGGCTTGATCCAATATAACTGATGGCCTTATTAGAAGATGAGGTTAGGATACAAACACACACAGAGGGAATACAATGTGAGGACACCGGAGGAAGACAGCCAGCTATAAGCCAAGGGGAGAGACCTTAGCTGGAACCAACCCTTCTGACACATCGATCTCAGAATTCTAGCCCCAGAAAAATGAGAAATAAATTTCTGTTATTTAAGCCACCCACTCTGTGGCACTTTGTTACGGTAGCTCTAGATAACATACTTAAGAATGCTAGTCATATTTTCAAATAAAACTATGTAGCTACACAATGAGCCTTGTCATCATACTTTTTCCCAGGAAATCTGAAGTTTGTAGAAACTATGGGACTGGCCCAAGATTAACCAACCAGTATCACCCCAGTGGATGATGTGGAGGCTGTAATTTTCCTACACATACTAACCCCTTCATCTACTCTCTCATAATTAAATATGCCAGGGAATAAAATACATAGAATAAGCACCAGCACATCTCCTCCTTCATAAGTGCTTGTGTTGTATTTTACAGGCTTCAGAGGGTGGAGAACAAAATCTGGGGGTAAAGAACAAAGACTGGCACTATGAATATTTTAAAATAAATAGGCACAACCAAAACTAATGTTTCAAAGCTTGAATTTAAGGCTCTAAAACCGTTCTATCCAATATCATATGACATCATTTCAGCTCTCATTCTTAAAAAAGGTGTGGTGGACAGGTTAACCTAAAAATCATTGGTGTTTAGGACCGAGAATTTGAAGAACTGAATTATAATCAGGTTATAAAGAATGTATTGTCTGATTTCGCCACCCTTATTATAAGCAGCTGGAAGGTCAAAAGCATCCATTAGCTCTTAAACTTTCTAGCCTGTAGGACTTTCATTTCCAAACTGTCCAGACAATTCAATAGAAGGTGTGCATGTTCACTACTAAACAGGATGATGGAGAGCATGATTTATATTCTAAGGCATTCATCTTTTACATGTATTTTTCTGGGCTTTGAAATTCTGATTGTGGACCTATGTGTTACTAAATATTCAGTTCATACAATGACTATTTATTGAACAAATGAGACCCACTCTTTCATTTATCTTTGGTGCCTGGCATATGTGTCCAGGGGAAGGATCCAGGAGGTCCCCAAGCACTTCTTCACCCCTTGATTTCCAGTTTACAGGATTCAGTCTGTCCTTGGATTCCAATGTTTCCTTGTGCAGGAAACTGTCCACTTACCCAAGGGAATCCTGCCAGGGACCAGGGTTCTGCTTTGATGTTGACAGTACTTATCTTGAAAACCTGGCAATTTGCTCCAGAAGCTTCCTAAAGGCAGACTGCTGCATATGTGAGATGACTTAAATGCTATTTTAATTTTGATCCAAAATATTATTCAAAAAATTATCAGGGAAGTGCAAATAAAAACGACAATGAGATAACACCTCACACATGTCCGTATGGCTATCAACGAAAAGTTTACAAATGCGGGCTTCCCTGGTGGCACAGTGGTTGAGAGTCCGCCTGCCGATGCAGGGGACGCGGGTTCGTTCCCCGGTCTGGGAAGATTCCACATGCCGCCGAGCGGCTGGGCCCATGAGCCATGGCCGCTGAGCCTGTGCGTCCGGAGCCTGTGCTCCGCAACGGGGGAGGCCACAACAGTGAGAGGCCCGCGTACTGCAAAAAAGAAAAAAAAAGTTTACAAATGCTGGAGAAGATGTGGACAAAAGGGAACCCTTGTACACTGTTGGTGGGAATGTCAATTGGTGCAGCCACTATGGAAAACAGTATGGAGGGTCCTCAAAAAACTAAAAATAGAACTGACATATGAGCCAGCAATTCCAATCCTGGGTATATCTGGAAAAAAATAAAAACACTAATTTGAAAGTATGCCTGCACCCCAATGGTCATAGCAGCACTATTTGCAAAAGCCAAAATATGGAAGCAACCCAAGTGTCCATCAACAGACAAATAAATAAGATGTGGTGTGTGTGTGTGTGTGTGTGTGTGTATATACATATATATATCAGAATATTACTCAGTCATAAAAAAGAGTGAAATACTGTCATTAGCAGCAACATGGATGGGCCTAGAGAATATTATGCTTAGTGAAATAAGTCAGACAAAGAAAGACAAATACTGTATGATATCACTTACATGTAGAATCTAATAAATAACACGAATGTATATGCAAAACAGAAACAGGCTCACAGATATAGAAAACAACCTAGTGGTTACCAGCGGGGGAACAAATTAGGGGTATGGGATTAAGATATACAAACGACTATGTACAAAATAGATAAGCAACAAGAATATATTGTAAAGCAGAGGTAATTATACCTATCATCTTCTAATAATTTTAATGGACTATAATCTATAGAGTCCATTGAATCACTGTGCTGTGCACCTGAAATTAATATAATAAATATTGTAAATCAATTAATATAACATTGTAAATCAATTAATATAATATTGTAAATCAATTATACTTCAACAAAAATATGGTATCATTCTAGTTTGGCTATTTAAAATTTTCATTAGAATAAGATTGGTTCAGGCATTTAATTCTTTCCCTTTTCTTATCCAGTTTTCTACTTTACTCTTTTTTATTATTCTTACTCTCCTATTAATAAAACAAACTTATCCAGATGATAAAATTGTTTATTTTTATAGGGTGAAGAAACATCAGAATAGTAAAGAACAACTTTGAAGAACTCACTCATCTTTCTTCATTCTTTTTACCTGGATGTTGGATAGTTTATTTCCCAGACTCAGTTCTGCAGCTGTCAATCCTGACAAAAACACTTTTCAAAGACAGAATTATTGGAAACGCCGAAAAGAAAATGAAAATGTGACAGCTGCCATCCAGTGGGGTGTAGATTCATGTATTCCTTGGGGAAAATTAGAATATTCTTGGTTATTGTGTTAATTTTATACTATATTTCTCAAATTTCCTGTCCCTCCAACTGTGATAGAATGTGCTTTGTGTTCTGCTATGTATATTCAGTGACAAAATTGTGATTCAAGTGAAACTTTAAAATAAATTCAGCCTCATAGGTGCTAAAAAGAGACACCAGGAACAGAGATGATTACAGAAGCAGGAAAAATTTTGGCAGCATGAAGGGCTAGTTTCTTTATATACTAAAATCATATATTTATGTGCCTAATCAAATCACTATCACATTTTCCAGCATTGGATACAGTAAATAGAGGAGCTTGATTTCAACACTGCTCAGATTCAGGATACAGGACTCTGTTGTAAGAATAAATACCAAAGCAGACTATTTGTGCAGATGACGATAATAATAATAATTAATAACAATAGTTTATAATAATAAATTATTCATCATTTTACAGAGTCTTCAAAGAAGATATATCTTATTAATGAATATTTATAGAGTTTTGATAAAAAGTAATAATTTATCAGAACTAATGCTGACTTCAGCACTACATCCTCATATTTGGGTAATCAATTGAACACATGATGATAATTCAACAGTTCTCTGATTGTATTTAACTCAAGATATTTAACATTGAATTGAAAATTATATGACAACACTGTTTTCCATGAATACCAGATACTCAATTCTTTGTTGATGGAGTATTACAAAAAAAGCACACATTAATACCTGGGTAACTAAATTTGCTGAAAAAAAGTGATGATAAGAAAGATTTTGCTAAACTTACGAAGTGTCACTCTGCCAGTTACAAAGCTACTGCTGTTAAGTCCAAGTTTATTTTTCCTTTCTTTTTTCTCTGGTACTGGGGTTAGGATCCACAGATCATGGTCCCTTGCCTGCTGACTTTCTGCTTGGATTCTGCCAAATGGGGACCTTAAAGGCAGAGTTGATGCAGGGGAGAAGAGGTTTGACCCTTCTTACTTGATGCTGTCGTCAGTGTCACCCAACTCCAGCCATCTTCGTTCATTCCAGCAGCAGCAATCGGTCCTCATCTCTAGCTTTGTTCTTAATTTCCAGAACCAATCTCATTGCTCCCCTCTGGGTTTCCAGGACCAGGAGGGCAGCACCCTCTCCTCAGATGTCTGAGGCCCTACAATGAGGGACTCTTCTCCTGGGCTTCTGACTTATCGGCACCAGCCACTAGGCAGTGCTTCCTCCTGATGGGTTTGATTTCCTCATGGGTCTGATTGCAGCTCTGAGCTCCTGTGATGCCAGCACAAGCCTGGTGGCACCATCTCCTCAGAAGCGTGAATGCCAACTCGACAGGAGGCCTGCTTTCAGATTTTAGGTTCCCATAACTCCAAACTTGGGCCTTTGTGGCCCCAGTCTCGGGAGCGATACCTGCTTCTTGCACTCAGTAATCTTTGCGCTATCCTATTATGTCCTTTTTCAGTCCTTCAATACAATTTAACCAATTCTTATATTAAATATCCTCTGTTAAAAACTGACTATTGTTCCCATTTTCCTGACTAAAACTTTATCGATCTACTGAGTGATTTAGGTAAAACAAAGTTAAGATTATTCTGATCTAGTGAAAATAAAATTATAGAATAGTTTACAAAAAGTTTATCTTAGGAACATAAAAAACAGATGGAATAAACGAAGTTTTTAGGTTATTGGTCTTATCTGATACCTAAAATAATTAATATTAAACATATTAATCAAATGCACAATAATATTTTAGTATTTTTTAAATGTTATTTTTGTAGTTCTTTCTATGAGGCAAGAAAAAGCCATCTTTAGTATCTGCCTCAGTAACTGATTTAAAAATTTGAATTAGGAGGATATGAACAAAAAAGTTTAATTCTTTTAGAACTGCTCAGTGGAAATTCTGCTTAAACGTATCGATGTATAGAATTCTGTTTTTCTATTCCTGCACAAAAGTCTGAAAACTAACGCTCTCACTATCTAGTATGGCACAGTCAATGCACAAGGATAATTTGACTGAAAACGTGTTTTCTCCAAATCACAGATTAAAAAAAACTTGAGATAGTTTCTTGCCTTTCCCTATCTGGATGTGAAACAAACAAAATGTACAGATTAAGAACTCACCACCTCTCACAGGGAAAAAGAGAAGGGGTAGTATTTCTTGAACACTCATCGACAGCAGGCAATATTCTCATTGCTTCATTATAGCATTTAACCCTCACATTAAATTTTGAGGTATGAATCATCAGTCCCTTTATTTCTTTCACTTGGAACATGAGGAAACTGAGTCCTTAGAGGGCTTCAAGTATCAGTCCCGGATCTGAAGCAGATCTCCTGCCTCCAATCCCAGTGCCTTTTCTATTAATGCATTTCTAGCCTGGTTGGTACTTAGCACAGTTATGACATGAAACTGTGAGTCCAATTTGTAGCTGCCAACATGAGTCACTTCTCTATTACATAACGTTTTCAGAATGCACCAAGTTATCACACTGTTATCCCAGGGGCATTTCCCGTCTCCCTCCCACTTCCTCCCTTTTCTCCCCTCTTGCTTCTCCTCTTTATTCATTTCTCAAGTGCTTGTTTTTAAGATCTGTGAAAAGCTCAAGAGTTGCTTCCCTACTAATGTATAGTCATTTTTTTAATCATGTAACATATAGCTTTGAAATATATCTGTATATCTGTAAGTGTATGTGGACATATAAATATACATGCATGTATATAAGTACATGTGTTTACGGTGATGAGTAGGAATTCATAACAACTGCCATAATTTCCTCAGCTACATTTGTTTCCTAAATGGCTGGTCTCACAGTAGATCCACTTGCTTTTTTAACTAGCATACAGTCTAAATTAAAGTACATGATTACGTTAAGAATACCAAATTAAATCCTCATTTGTGTTTGACATTTCATTTAGTATCAATTTTTGAGAAAAATTTTAACTCATATTCTTTTCAGAAACAGTCAAGTATATTAATACATAGGTCTAATGTTTCTTTGAACTGACTTTAGTAATTTAATAGAGCCCTTGCTCGAATGTTTCAGTTGTATCACATATTTGTTGCTGTCCTTCTGTAAGACAACAAATTACTTTTTATTGTTTATGGACAAAACACTTGAACTTTTAAAATTCTTGAACTACGTCCTCAGTTCTTTATTTTAAAAACATTGTAGTGTTTTTCATCTGATTTCACATTTTAACTTTCAGAGCTAGCAGGTGTTAAAAATCTCAAAGTGGCAAGAGGAGATCTGACATGCATTAACACTCAGTGTTTACTTCAGATATGGACAACTCCCACAGGACAAAGTGTCAGACAGTTTTTATCCAGGGAATAGGCTGGATTCAGAGGAACCAGCAGTCAACATACTGAATTCATAATGCTAGATTTCAAGCTAGACCTTAAGTGATCAAAATGAAAAACGGCCACTTCCAGCAACTTTCTCAAGTCAACACAGAATGTTCACAAGAAGGAATAACATTTCAAGTGGTTAAAGTCGGATTTTTTTCCCCAGAGTAATAACTCCATATAAGACTACTGGCTCAAGACCTTTCACGATGGTGTCATCACCAGGATAAGCAAGTATTTCTTCTCTTATCTACAAATGCCTTCTTCCCCAAGCCTCATATCTAACTGACATTGACTATCCAGTAGGTTATGCTCTTAGGTTAGGAGCAGTCCAGACCAGTTTATCAACCAACCTTAAAAATGTACACACTATTGGAAAGCTTTATGCTTTAGGTAACATAAATATGCACATGTTTAGAAGAGCTAAACTGTTGCTACTCGGGTAAAATTCAATAAATATCATTACCAACTGTAGCTGCCAGAAAATCCTTACAGGACCTAAAATGATATTTATAAATTTACGCTTCATTGCAGAAAAGTGATACAATATAGCAAGAACAGTAAAGTAAGTATAATCATCAGAGCCAAAGACTGTCTTCCAATAAGGGGTCCACAAAGGTCAAGTGCAGGCTCCCACCGTCGTCCCCTCTGTAAGGGCTGTCTACTGCCTCTCTTGGATTAGGGACAACGTACATGGGCACAGAATTCCTCTGAACCAGGGAGTGTAATATGGAATCTAGGTCAGGTTTCTTATACTTTGCTGGTCACGTAGGTATATTCTTGTTATGTAACCACTTAAGGGGTCTCACGGAGACCAGGTGGAAATCATTGAACTCATAGTTCTTAACGAACAATACTGACAAGCTGATACAAACCCCCTGAAACTTATCTCACCCTCATGGTTACAGAAATACTACTCATCACCACATTTCATGCCTTGACTAGGCGTCAGAGACATGCAGGTAGATCTCCTACTCTAGCCCACCCACGAAGGTCAGTTCCAGGGTCACTGGAATTAGCTATTATGGGGCAGAGTGTTCATAAAAAATGTGTGAAGCTTGGTGATGTTCATGCCCCCTGTTTGTTTATACTCACTGGTTCAGAGGGGGAAGGAGAAGAGCTCACACCTGACTGTCCCTTGTCAGGAGACAGTCTCTGGCTCAGATGCTGTACTTCTTCTAACGTTGTTGCTATACTGCACCACTTTCCTGAAATAAAACATAACTTTTTAAACATTATCCTTTTGGGTCCCCTAAATTTTCTTCAGCAGTGAAACCCGGTCTAACCTGGAGTTCCCAAGTTACTGGGAAACATACAAACATACAATGAACTTCCTTAAACCTACACCTAAGCCGAAATCCTTCATTAGTCTGAAGTTCCTTTTCTTCTTGTCTGAACGCCGCCTGGCCATTTCCTTTCTATGCACGCCTCCCAGCAGATACTTTTCTTTGTCCACAACCTCCTCCCATGAACCACTTTATGTCGCTTTCTAGTGATTGGCCTTATGTAATTGGATTAGGAGTGGATTCATGGCATCTGTCCAGGTAGTCAGCATTTTTCTTCAGGGAATCTTAGAGAGAGGAGGACAAATGGTTAGTCAGTTGTCCTTGGGGAACTAAACCGGAAGGTCAGTCTGGTTTTCCTGTTGAGGTAGCCATGATTAGCCATGGCCAAGAAGATTGAGTGAGCCAAGAAGCCCATTTACAGAGAGAGAAGAGAAGAATCAAAGGGCAAGTCATTTGTCCACACAGAGGGAATGAGAGTGACAGAGCATCGCTGCCCAGTGACCTTCCCAAATTCATGGACCTGCTTATGCTTCCCAGAACTAAGTTATACAATATTATCCCGCACACCTAAATTCCACTTTACATAGGGTAGCCAGAATGGATTATTAAAAGAATATTCTTAGCATAAACACCATAATCTCCTTAATGAATTCCTACTCATTCTTGAAAACCCAACTCCGACTTGCCTTTTGCTGGGAATCTTATTCTGATTTGCATAATTTCTTTCCTCTTGTTTT